TCGCGATGTTTTATGGCAAACGTTACACAACTAAGAGTGCATCCCATCAACGCCACCACTGTGCGAACAACCGGTTTCGTCCTACTGTTGTTGAATGTTGTACTTATTATTCCATCTTTATGCTGCATCGTTAATGTTCATTGCTGAATTATGGTTTTCTGCAGGAATCGATACGCTAATACTTATATATTGTAATGCTATCGGGCTTGTCATTCGATGCCTTGTCACCACTTAAGTAGGTCACAGTTCTGTGATAGTTTTGCAACTGCACTGGATAAGGCAGTACAGTGACGCATAACATGATGCCGCAAGATGCACCAATGCATTGTAATTGCTAAAATTTCACGTGATGTGGTATGCATAAATATCTTTTGGATATCTAGAAACAGGCAGTTCCATGACCTCATGAATTAGAATTATGCACTTATTAATAAAATGCAGGGTATCAATCAGTATTTCGGTGATTGCTAAACCATATAAGGGCTGTCAGTTGCCAGAACTTCATCGATGGCGGGCTGGTTGTTGCTCTAGTAATAACTTGAAACCAAATGCATCTATCATGATAGATGCCCGACTACCAGTGAGGTATTGTCTTGAAATAATCGCTATACTGTCTAATACCTATAATATAGGACATTCAGTTTAATGGAGTCAGTCGTCTATTAATACTTCCTTCATTGATTAAGCAAAGTTCAACCCTAATGAAATCTGCCAAAAACAATGAACAAGCAGTATGAAACGGCGACAGCTTTGCAAATTAGCGTCTACTGATTCGTATCATAGTAGCATTGAGTAAATATCTTTATATTCCATAACCGCTTCTCTTCGGGTCGCTGAGGCAGACATTTGAAGAGTGATTCAAACGTTCTCCTTCCTGTGCCAGTCTCAGCTTCGGCATATGACAACTGGAGCCTGGAGCAGACTCCTTCCATTGATTTCCACCAGGTAAATCTTGGCCGACCCCTGGGTCTTCTGCTGGTCCGCTGGGCAAGAAATAATTGCTTTGCCTTCCTTTCTGGAGGCATTCGCAACACATGCCCAAGCCATCGCAGCTGTGACTTCTCAATCTTGAGAAGCAAAGGCTGTACACCAAGGTTCTCCCGGATGTCAGTATTCCGGACCATGTCGAGACGCGTAAGGCCAGCGACTCGTTTAAAAAGGCCCATTTCAGCAGCTTGTACCCGGGTTCGAAGTTTTTCAGTGATGGTCCACGATTCATGACAGTAAGTAAGTATGGAGGATAAAGATCGACTTGAGAATATTGAGAGCTTAGTTTCCAGACTGAGCTCTGCTTTAGTCACAATGGGTCGGACTAGTTCACGCAGAACGCCACTGGCTACTCCAATTCGCCGGTCGACCTCTTCCACCAAATTTTCCATCACTAATAAATACAGTTCCGAGGTACTTGAACTTCTCCACCTGCTTCACTGCTTCTCCGTTAATCGGAAGAGGGCAACGGGCATGAGAACGAGAAATCACTAGGCTTTTCGTTTTAGATGCGTTCACACGCATGCCGGTCACGTCGCACTCGGC